TTTAACTCATTGCTATTATTGTTATTGTAAGATTTTTTAATAAATATATTTTTTATATTATAAATTGTATTCATTCAAATTTCCCGCCCAATTTATAGCATAAAGCTGAGTCTACAATTGTCGCAGGGGTCCGATCGCAGAACATAAGCTTGCGCAAAGCACCCCGCGACGTGGCGATGGAAGAAGTTTCTTTTGTCAGCTGGGTGCTTTGCGCAAGCTTATGTTCTGCGATCTGCGACCTGCGACAATTGTAGACCCGGCTTAATAGAACAAAATAATGTGATTGTCATAAATATAAAAGTGGTTAAATTAACAATAAGAAAGGATTGCAGTAACTAAAATTTTATACCTCTTGGAAGATTTAATTAAAATTAATGGTCAACAGAACCATAACATATAATTAATAAAACTATATTCCATTTGGTTGTACTAACAACACCACTATAGTTAACTACACAATGTGATTGCTTTGACCATATTCTGTAATAATAACTTTATGGTTTCTCTGACCACTGCAAATCATTGTATCATATTTAATAATTGATTATAGTTGCAATTGTCATAATTATTGTAATTACGACCATACATTTTTTAGTGTGTACATACATAAAATATTTATAAAAAAAATCTACTTACTGAGATATTACACTTCACGGTGGATAGGTTTCTAAATAGCAAATTAATGAACTTAAACTTTTGAATTATAAAACAGCAACACTCTCATCTGCATATAAATTCTAACTGACCTTCAGGAATCACATGTATCTATAATGTCGTAAACAGAGGTTTTTGCTTATTTAAAATGATTAAAGCGCCATCCGTTGCATAAAATTTAAAGCAAAAACAGATTCACGGAGGATAGAATCAATTTTTTATTAGCACCTAAATAAATGGTTATAAAAATTATTTCTTTTAATTTTTAAAAATATTCTATATTTGATTCGATTTGATATTTTTGGTATGCTTTTACTACCTCAGATATTTTAAAACATATAGGTTAACCAAGAAAGAGTAACAGTCACGGAGGATAGGTTTTAGACTCATCCATATTACAAAATACTGTAGACCCATATATTTATATACCAAGTATACGACCTTTAACATAAAACAAGGAAATAGGCCGGAATTACACCAAACAAAAGACAAATAAAAAATATTAACAGCATTTTTATACATAAACTTAATTATCGTAGGATGCAATTAAATTCTTTATGTATTAATTTTTTATTATCTCAGTTTTAATCTTAATATTAATTGTTGTTTAAGTGAGTGCAAAAAATAAATTATGGATTTTTATTATTATTAAAAAATTACATGAAATTTTGTTAACAAAATTACGCGTATACATAATAGTCAAAAAAGAACATCAATCTTTCAGGTTCACATTATTTAACGTTTTGCAAGAGGATATTTGGCAAACCACTAAAAAATTCTCCCATGTATACAAAATTAACAATATAACGCGTTATAAAATTAAAATCTATCCTACGTAAGATGCCTATCTTAATTTCAATCGAATTATGTGTGAATGCTTATTCTGAAAGATCCATTTAATTTATTAAACTTGATTCATAATATACCGCATTATGAATGGGTTGTATTACAAAATTCATAAAATCATTTGAGAAAGCAGAGGTCCGATTTTTCAAAATATTGCACGATATCACGACTACGAAGCCCAGACGTGTAAATACTTAAGACAGTAGTAAATTCAAAGAAAGTACCCTGTGCTGATAAGAATCAGGCCCGTAATGAAGAAATTCGTCTTTATATGCCGATATTTATCTATGATGATGTCACGTACTTTTGAGTTGTTGATTTTTAGAACTATCTATTTGCAAAATCTGCATATAATGGTTATGTGAAATTTCAACATTCTACTTTTTAAGAATTAAGTTGCTTATGAAGTAATTGGACACATGGACCATAGTTATTGAACATACAATTGAACCTAGCAACTTTATACACTCACAGGCAAAATAATCGATCCACACAAATTTTCGATGAATTTCAATCGCAAATAACTTGTTTATTTGATGTCGGATTTAAACGAATATTAAAGAATATTGTAGATAAATTAATGGACAATCGCTCACATTTTAAAAAATTACTAAAAAATAGACGTACGTTTATAATATACAGGTTTAAACAAAAATATGTGTTTTACCATAAGTTTAAGACACTCTGTAGAGTGGCATTGTTCTAAATTAAGTTTTATTTATCAAGTCAAATCTATTCCTAACAGTTTTGTTTTTGGTTCACCTCGATATATTTATTTTTGTGGAAAATATGGATTTAAAAAAAAACATTGAAATTTCCAATATTTTTCTGTATGAAGAACTAAAGTTGCTATGGTCCATCCATATGGAGAATGACAGTGACAGTGTTAAATCATCCCATACTTGGACATGTCATACACGGCTTTTAAAAGCTATCGAATTATTTTTTGCAAATTAATGTTTAAATTTTGAGGTGTCTTCTTACTTTAAAGAATAGATATGTCTCCGACTGATGTTGCCAGAGTCATTATTTAATCCAGGATGGACGGTCACAGTATTACGTGGCAAGTGTTTTAAACGTCACAAGAAGTAAAGTACAAAGGGCAACATCAGTCGGAGACATTTTTAAAAGTAAGAAGACACCTCAAAATTAACACATTAATTTACAAAAAACTTGATAGCCTTTGAAAGATGTATATGACATGTCCAAGTATGGGATGATTCAACAAAACTGTCAATGTCATCATCCATAGGCTATGGATGGACCATAGCAACCTTAGTTCTTCATACAGGAAAATATTGGAAATTGCAATGTTTTTTAAAAAAATCCATATTTTCCATAAAAATAAATATATCAAGGGGAACCAAAAACAAAACTGTTAAGAATAGATGTGACTTGATAAATAAAACTTAATTTAGAACAATATACGGTTTTGCCACTCTACAGAGTGTCTTAAACTTATGGTAAAAAACCTCTTTTTGTTTAAACATGTATATTATAAACGTACGTCTATTTAAGGTTTTGTAGTACCCTTTGAATAACCATATTGGTTTGGGGTTTCTTGTGAAAATACATTTAGTTACGGTCCTGCAAATGCCGAGAACATCAGACATTTGAAAGTGAAATTGTTATATTGGTGACTCGGAGTTTTTCGTGACCTGAGATGCACTAAGAGACCGATTTATGAATAGCTTCACTTAATTTACATGCCAGAGATAAAGAAGGTTACATGCCCGGAGCATATTCCAATTAAATAAACCTTGTTCAAGACTTTGATTTCGCCCTTATTTGGAATGTTTACCATGTTGCCATGTCAAACGATATTTGGAAACAATAGACTTGAAAGAATTATCCAACCGTTACATAAAACGATTTAAGTTTAACCAAACTCTTTTAACGTTTTTACATCAAAAATAAAAAAAATATAGGGTATTAAATAATAGACGTTTTAAATTAAACTAAACAATTTTATATCACAATGATGATATACAATTTATGTATGTATATTAATTAATAAGAGTGTTGCAAAAGAAGTGTGTAATCCAGACAAATAATATTTTAAAAGTAATGATGAGAACCACATTTAATCAGTCTAGATGCATAGTAGTACCTAGTTAACACATCCAACTAGGTAATATTGATAAAACTGTTATTGAGTTGGGAAATTATTTGCCAATATTTTTAGGGTTAAATGATCAGCAGAATTATTTTATAATATAGAACAAAGACTTATTTCTTGTAAATTAATACTAAAGTGAAAATAATTATAGTAATGAAAAAATCAAAGGATAAAATATTTTAGGAAAGAATTAAGTTGTATTAATGAACTTTTTAAAAAATAAAATAAAAAATGTATATTCAACTACTAATTTTTCTTAATAAATCTAAAAAATAGAACCTTCAAAAACTGCACATCCGAAACAAAAAACAAACATCAAAATTAATCGATATTTAGATGATGGCAAAAATCAAAGGTGCATTGAAAAAAAATCCGGGCGTATTTCCGGTTTGATTTTGCCGGTTGGCCGGCATTGTAATCGAGGCTAAGTTCAAATTTTACTCTCGATATGATGCAACAGAAATTATGCATTTTCCCCACATTTATTACTATTTTCAGATATTGAGGATTTTGTGTTACACAGTAAAAAAATATTTTTTAATTTTAACCAATATAATTATATATATGGGTGATTCTACAAAAGTTGGACAACTTGATGTCATCAGTCAATAGAGTAGGTGTTTTAATATTTTTTGTAAATATTTCAGTATATTACAAAAGATCCAGGTTTTTTAACTTGTCCACCCAATTTTAATGTATTTTTTCAAAAGCACGTTTGTAGAAAAACATAATAAATATTCAAAACATCAGTACCTTGGCGTGTCACAACTCCTGAATCAAATATTTGAGTGATTTTATTTTAAAATATATTCAATTTATCTTAAATTTTTCAATTTCACTACAAACTATAAAACATTAAATAATGTATTTTTCATATTTTATCATAGATTCGAATAAAAGCAATTTAAAAAAAATTGATAATCTTTGTACTCACTTTTACCCGTCAGTTCTGTGTCCAATGTTAAAATTCAAAATTCCTGCGAAATATTGAAGTTTAAACGTCAAGTCCTCGTTTTAACTCAAGTGTTGGTAAAAAATTACCTACACAGCCCGCCCTTTGCACGACAGTCATCTTGACAACAATGCAAGCGATGAAGTTGTGGTGAGTGCACGTGTAGTTCCAGTCAAAATTTCAGTACTGTGGTGATTAGTTATTTTCTTACGTATATTGTAATTTATATAAGGCTATATGCGATTTGTTGATAAGTAGCATCCACTAATAAAAAATATCAGTAAAATACCTAATTCCGAATTATAATCTCAAATTTGTATCCCTTTCATCAGTACCATGTCGTCAGTTCCATGTTCGATGTTTCGGTTATCTTTTTTCGCAAACTTCAATTGCAATTGAATGATACCATTGTATGTTTTTTTATTTCAGGATGAAGTTACTTATACCCTTGGTCGTATTTTTAGTGGCGACTTTAATACAAGAAGCCACACCACAAAGGCCAAGAAACAGACAGGCTCTCTTCATCAAAAATGACATTTTACGAAAAGGTATGATATGACTACAAAAATTAAATTCCAGATACTGTTGTACAAATACATATACAAATCTTAAATTAATAATTAATTATTATTATTAGTATTATTATTCTTAAGTTAATGGATAATGTTGCATAAAAAAATTATATATTATATTAATTTTAATTAGTAGTTATAATGATAAAACAGGAGCAAATATATTAAAATAAAACGTTGTGTAAAGTATGGTATTGTAAATAGTAAAACAACATACAAAGAAATATTAATTAAAATTTATAAACTGGGTTATTGTAAATAATATTTTCTTCTTACTATTCTTACTGTTTTTGTAAATATTAGGAAAAAGCAGAGTAACTAGACAAACCAGTTCAGACCAGATGGTTCAAAATATTCTGCAATGGCTACAAGGAGTGTACACGCAAAATACCAGGAGGAGTATGTTTGACAAATATACGTCTGTCAATAACATTACTAATTTTATAGAAGATTTTGGCGATGTAGATAGTGCATGTAAATATTGCTTTCCGCTTTGATAACACCTAATCAAAATATTTTTGGAGAAAATTCGTGTTAATGAGTTTTGTCCAAGAAGTATGCTTATTGCACTTTATCACCCTGTATACCCCATATGTACTATGCTCCACACCTCAAAGTCCCACCACGTGACCACGTACGGAACGCAGTCTTTTGAAAATTTGGCATTTAAGGCTTTTCAGGTTATTTATCTGTCAAAGTATAGTCAACGAAAGAAATATTATTATGTTTAGGCGTTAAAAATGTATAAATCTTTATAACATTACAATAACAATGGATGGTTAAGAATTTAAGAGTATAAATACTGCATTTAATGAAATTCTAAAGTGTATGGTGCCAAATAAGTAATATTTTTGTGCATTTGGTTTTCTCCATAAAATAATCCTAAACTAAACAGCATTTATTTAAAAAAATCTAGCTTCTCTATTATGGAATAAGAATATCTGATTTAAAGGTAGGTTAACCTATTAATTAATATATTATAACAAAAATATCATCTTATTTTGTAATTTTACGGTTAGAAAAATTTATTTTGACCAAAATAAATAAATATTTTGGATTATTTAAAAGACTGTATAATATGGTATTTAAAAATGTGGTAGTTTTTCTTATCCAGCTTAAAGTGTACCTACATAAAGTTTTGTCAATACAAATAGTTAAAAAGCTTCGACTGAACTTGATCTACATCGAAAAATCATTACAGCTTTAAACATTTTAATAAATCACATGTCATGGGAGTATTAAATATTTTCACATTGCAAGTTTCTCTAAAAATTGTTTGTTTTCTTGTAATCTAACTTAAAGTAGGTATGCCGAGAGGTATGCACAAGTTTTGTCATTAGAAGTATAAAAGCTTCAATTTAATTTGAACCATATTCAACAATTATTTAGTATACCTATATTTATTTATGACCATATTAACACACTCTTCCAAATAATCCACTTATTTATTTTGGTCAAAATAGATTTTTCTAACCTTAAAATACAAAATTAGATGATATTTTTTGTTCTAATACATTAACCTACCTTTGATACAGATATTCTTATTTCATAATAGAGAAGATAGATTTTTTTAAATAAATGCTGTTTAGTTAAAACTATTTTATGAAGAAATGTAGACCCAATGCACAAAAATATCACTTATATTGCACCATACACTTTGGAATTTCATTAAATGCAGTATTTATATTCTTAAATTCTTAAATCAACCATTGTTATTGTGATACTACACGGAAAAAAATAATCGGTAGAGGCTACCGATTGGCAATCGGTAGCAGCTACCGATTGCCAGTCGGTAGACTCTACCGAAAAATCGGTAGACTCTACCGAAAAAATCGGTAGTCTCTACCGAAAAAAAATCGGTTCCCTCAACCGATTTTTATCGGTAGTAGCTACCGATTATTTTTCGGTAGAGTCTACCGATTTTTTCGGTAGAGTCTACGGTAGCCGTAACCGAGAAAATCCGCATCGATGCGTTGTTAGAAAATTTAAAAAAATATATTAAATATCAGAAAGGTTTGGTTGTTTTAGTTGAGATTGATGATAATAACGATCCAGTCTTCGGAAAAATTATTGAAATAGTCAGTGTAAATAATTGTATATATTTTCTCATGTTCTCGATTAAAACATTGTATTTTGATCAACACTATCATGCTTATTGCGTTGAAATTGATTATAAATCAAGTATGACAAAGAATAAGAACAAATTACCAAATTTAGAACCTTGTTTATTAATACAAAAAAAAATCTCTACTTTGTAGCCACCAGACATTTAATTTAATATTTATTTAGAATTGTAAAAAATTTAATAAAAATTACTCCTCATTTTTAATATTTTTGTATTTCAAATTTATTTATACCTCAAAAAAAAAATACTATTTTCTATTTAATAAAAAGCGAGTATTTAACTTCTCGCTAAAAAAATACAAAAATTTTCAAAAATTGGTAATCGATTTTTTCGGTAGCCTGCACCGAAAAAATCGGTAGACTCTACCGAAAATAATCGGTAGCTGCTACCGATAAAAATCGGTTGAGGGAACCGATTTTTTTTCGGTAGAGACTACCGATTTTATCGGTAGAGTCTACCGACTTTTTCGGTAGAGTCTACCGATTGACAATCGGTAGCTGCTACCGATTGCCAATCGGTAGCCTCTACCGATTATTTTTTTCCGTGTATTAAGATTTATTAACTTTTAACGCTTAAACATAAGCGGTAACACTTTAAATATTATTTCTTTCATTGACTATACTTGACTATACCTTAAATGCCAAATTTTAAGACTGCGTTCCGTACGTAGTGTGGAGCATAGTACCTATAATGTTTTTCTAGATGAAATCTAGGAATGTTTATACCTGCCAATAAATAGTAACTTTTCAAATTTTAAGATACCCGTAAATTGTGGTTTTACTGCTATTAAACAATTGTTCAATTTAAAAGATTAATGTACGGTTTCACATTAAGTATATTTTATTATCTAGGCACATCAATTTATGATCGATTCATCAATTAGTTTCGGTGCGATTAAAAATCTTTACGATATTTTGGCATTTGGAAAGTTTTTATCGCAGGAAATTTAATGCATGCTTTCTTCAATAATTTTAGTGTTTTTATTTGACTAATCAAATGATTTCACATAATTTGCAATTAGGTGCATCTATCTAATCTTAAACAAATTTTAGTTCGTCAAGGCACGTTAAGAGAATACCTCCCACCAAGTCAAACCCAGAAACCCCGACCTTTTCAACCTGCCTATACGACTTCAGACAACAATGATGGGTACCCAGCTTCTGGTTTCAAACCACAACCACCTTTTCCGTACCCAACTGTACCAGGACAAGACGGCTATCCACAAACCAACGAAGTTATCCCAGGGGAACCCTCCAAAGCCCCAGCAACGGGATATCCCGAAGGAACTTCAAGTAACGTTACGTAACATAGCGCCAAATGATTTCTAGTGATGATTTTTAGGTACTTTCGCTCAACAAAGCACTACAACTTCAGGTTTCTCAACTGATAGACCGGGAGTTTCCACTGCCTCTCCAGCAGGGTATACTACTTCTCAACCGGGATATACCACACCCCAACCGGCATATACTACAGGATATTCCACCTCTACTACAGGGTATACTTCCAGCCAGTCATCTGAAGCAGTAACAACACAACAACCAGGAGTTCCCTCAGTAGACTACAGCACATTATCTCCGCAAGGTTTCACCTCGACCACTGAAGGCCCAACACCTGGGTATTCAACACCGCAACCTGAATACCCCACCAATCAAGGTTTCTCAACCTCGCCGCCTGTTGAGGTATCACCGGAAGCTTTCCCAACCTACTCTCCTAACGTCGAAGACGGATCTATCACCACAGGTGCTCCCATCACCATAGGACCATCAACAGGTGCTCCGTTCACAACAGGACCGTCCACATCCGCTCCTATAACTTCCGCACCCTCAGAAACGATTAGAGAGGAGTTGACAAGCCCTGCAGCGGAAACTACTGAGTCACCGGAAGTCAATGAAATCCCCACAGCCAAAACCGATACAGGAGACAATACAGGCACTGGCAGTGACATAGATGAGGATTTGAAACACCCACCGCACATCCACGAGATAAACGTTGACTGTGGCAAAGAGATGATGACGATCAACATCGAGTTTAACCGCCAATTCGACGGTATTATATATTCCAAAGGTTTTTACAGCAACCCAGATTGCCGATACGTGCAGGAAAACTCAGGGCAAACCAAATACTCGTTCACAGTGAGTTTAAACACTTGCGGGACGGAGTTTGTCAACGCTTTCGATACCGAGGGAAAATCCTACTTGCAGAACGTTTTGGTGGTGCAAAATGAGGCGGGTATTCAGGAGGTGTGGGACGTTATTAGATCGGTGCGTTGCCTGTGGGAGGGAAGCTTAAAGGACACTTTGAGTGTGAATTTAAGCGTTGGAATGTTGACGCAGGAAATCGTAACCTTCAGCGGAGATACTGCCATGGCGAAGTTGGACATTCAACTGGGTAAAGGACCGTTTGCACCGGCAGCAGATGGTTTAGTAAAGATCGGGGAGACAATGACGTTGGTAGTTTCAGTATCGGGCGATCCAGGATTCGACTTGCAAGTTAAAGATTGCAGAGCCACTGATTCGACTAGCGAGAACGTCGTACCCCTTACAGACGAGAACGGTTGTGTTTTAAAACCAAAACTATTCGGGGCATTCCAGAAAACAAGAAACACCGGCGACACAGGTGCCTCTATTATGGCATACGCTTTCTTCAACGCCTTTAAATTCCCTGACGTTATGGATCTGATGATCGAGTGCAACATCGAACTCTGCAAAACAGACTGCGAGGTGTGCCCTAACTCCGATCAAAAAATCGAACCGGGCAGGCGCAGAAAACGCGATCTACAATACTACAACAGCACCCTCAGTGATGGCGTCACCATGGGTAAACTGATGAGGGTAATTCTACCGGAGGATATCCAGGAGGCGCAGGCTTTCGTGAGTTTAAGCCACTCCGATGGAGTTTGTATGTCGACGCAAAGCTTCGTTTTCTCAACGGCCTTGCTGCTATCGCTGTTGGTGGCCAGTTGCCTCTTCAGTGCCTTCATGTGGTTGCAGAACCAACGTTTAGCATTCCTAAAACACTAGGATTAGTTTTTGGAACGCAACTGAAATACTTACCCACTGCCAATTCATACAGCAAAGGTCAAGACAGTTTGATAATGACATCTAACTTCCACCACGTATATTGTTCAAAATGGCTTGACAATGGCTGTATTTAGTTTCCTAACGTGTCTATTAAGTTATTGTGTTTCGCGCAGTCCAGTATTCTTTTAATTATTTAATGTATATTACTTTATATTTATGTAAATAAATCTTTAGATAAGTTTTTAAACTTTGTCTTATTAGAAGATCCTAGACCATACGGGATTTATACCTATCTAAAGACTACATATCAGGAAAAATAGTCACTCAGCATAATATTAAACACAAATTTATATTTATACCAAATTTTGTCTCTTTAACTAGATTTAACTAATAAAGCCTAACTAATTTTGCATACAGTGCCCATAAAACATTCTCTTGTCTTTCACTGTGAAAAACTGCTACTTTATTGATTGTTAGTCTATTTTCAAGGGATTAATTTTGATTTAGAGAAAAAAATTTGAAATTTTAACGCCGGTAGATTCCCAAGTTGGAAATTCTAACGGGAATTCCAATAAATACAACTGTCACTTTTTGTACCTTTAATACTCTGGGATAATATTTTGCAATTATAGTTATAAAAAATCAAAAGATAACATATTTTTTTAACATAATTTAATTAGCATGATTCACTACCTAAAAACATATATTTACTTTTATTTATACATAGATTGTTATCACAGAGCCATTTAAAAATACAATCAAGATCACAATTTAGTTTATCACACATTAAATCATTGTATCATCAGCAAAAAGTTTAACTTGACAATTCCTAATATATTTTGTAATGTCATTTATATAGAATATAAAAAGTAAAGGACCTAATACTGTTCCTTGTGGGACTCCATGACTAGACACGGTGGTCAAAACTTAAGTATAGGACGAACAAAAATGCCAACCAAAACTGATAGCATATTTTGATTATAGACCCTTTGGTAACACTAACATGTATTTATCAAAATCCCAGCTGATCCTATTTTAAAGTTTTGCAAACTTTTTTGTTTTTCTATTTCTATATATTATTTTGCAATTATTGTAGGTACTAAAACTACCTACCTTTAATAAAATTAAGCAAAATAATAAACTTTGTATCAATTAAATTACTTTACTCCCCAGTATTAATTTATTAAGTCACCTATTATTTTTTACCACTCAAACCAAAACAAACAAAAAATACTGGAAGTTTGTCTATGAAATAATTACAACTTGCAAATTTTGCAAAACAATAATTAAGGTGGTTATGAAAAAAATTGCTATACGTTATAACGCAAGTGACATTTTGCTTTAGTTGTTTATTTGATGTATACTTAAAGTTAAAAATAGTATTTTAAAATGAAAATTAAACCGAAATTCAAGTTAAGCCATGAAGAAAATCGAAAGAAGGTATGTGCTGGCTGTGGAGACAAATATTTGTTTATTAAATTGTTAAATTGTTTTTGGTAATCGAAAAATTCAGAGTTTAGGGTTTCTGAAAAAATATAAAAATTACTGCAGACTTTTTCAAACGAACACTTTAACTTAAGTGATTCAAAATTACCTACTTCAATATGGTAAAAACGGTATTTTTCCATAGCCACAATTGCCAAATTTTCAAAATTTAGAAATTGCTAGAGAATTTCGCGGCAGCCAAGAATGTATGTGCTTTATCTGCAAAATGGCAAGATATAAAGGGCATACAAAATTATTAAGGGAAGAGGACGGACGCACGAACTAAAGTTTTGATATGCTCTTCCTTTCTAGGGGATATCGCTAGATGTAGGAAGCATGTTTGTACAGAGACTGAAGAATTTAAAAATACTGTTTCCATTTTAAAAACAATTCCATGTAAAACCCAAGAAAAAGTTTTACTGAAAATTTAAGGCAAGCAGTAATCGATTTTGCTTCAAAGAATCTTTAGTTATTTATTAGTTTTGTATTAGGTACCTTAAAACAATAAATAACTGTATTTTACATTATTTTGTATTTATAATGTAATTTATCCATATTTCAGTCATGTATCTGCCAAATTTTTAAAAACATTTGATAATGGTACTAGAGTATTTTATCGATATGGCATAAACAATTTTAAAATACTAAGAAATATGCAAAACTTTAATAAAGGATCAGCTGGGATTTTGATAAATACATTTTTGTGTTACCAAAAGAGTCTATAATCAGATTATGCTATCATTTTTGTTCATCCTATACTTTAGTTTTGACCACCGTGTAGAAAACGTATTATTAAATTTTACTTTTTGATATCTTTCTGTAAGGTAAGATATCATCCAGCTTTATCCCCTATATCTAATTTTTTCAACTTTTTTATTAATAATAACCTATTTACAGTTTCAAAGGTTCTTTAAAATCAAGGAAAACCGCAAAAATATTATTATTATCCATAGTTTTTAATCAGTTATCATATACTCAGAATTACCGATTCACATGAATTCACTGATAATCTGTTATATTATTTTCGTTTAAATATTGCACAAGTTGATTTTCAACTATAGTTTCAATAATTTTCTCATGAGGTGATAAAACATTCTTCACTTAAAATTGTGTGGCCCTGGCACAAAAAACCCTTTAAAAGGTATTTCTTTGTAGTTACTTTGTTCGTTTATGTAACATCTAGTAATTCACTGGTAGTGAATTTCTGATAGTTAACAGTTTATCTTTTAAGTTTTAGCATAAAAAACTCCGCAATAATTTTTTTTATGGAAAATATTATATACATACCAAATTATTTCTTTTATAAATTCCACAATTCTTCTGTTGATTCTTTAATATCTTTTAAAATAATTTAAAAGATATTGCTGAAAACATAAAAGGGACAAAGGTTAGGAAAAAAAACCACCACATAATGACTAAGTTTTTATTGTATGTATGTACACTGATTTATTCTCGAGTGTCCAATTTCGATGAGAATTAAATGAAAACAAAAAGATGATGAACAAGATGATGATGATAAAACAATTATTGTTGCTGTCGCCGTCGGGTTTACATTGTCAGTTCCATAATGGCGTTGACTATATCGTTCTGGTTGTTTTTCAGAGCCTTAATGGCCTTCGACCGACTCACATTAGCCTGCGACATAACCAACTCAACATCCTTATCCTCCACCCCCGACTCATCAACCTCCTCGTCTTCGCTCTCCTCCGCTATGGGCGCCACCGAGGTGGTGGTGCTACCAGCCGCCCCCTCCCCCGCTGGATTCACCTCTTTAAACTTCTCCGCGGCAGCCACCTGCGCTTGCTGAGACAAATCCTCGATTTTAGCCTCGCCAAACACAATATAGGTGTCGCTCACCGGGTTTTTATAAACGTCGGGTTTGTTGATCACGAACAAAATGTTTTTGGATTTGCGGATCGTCACCCTGCTTACCCCAGCTACCTACAAACGAAACCACCCCTTAAACACGACATCGCAATATCTACATCATCTCCTAATCTACTATGCACATATATGCATCAGTCTGCCAAGTATTTCATCACTTTGTTTAAGACAAAAAAAGCGAAACCTTGTAAGAATCATCATAAGTTTCTGGTTCATGAAATAAATGGGGTAAAAAGCACCCTGAACAATTCTGAGATGTTTGCATTTTAAAAGTTAAAAATTAGCAAGTTTCAGTCAAAAAATTATAGGTTTTAATCAATTAAAATTTAAATAATAGCTATTTATGTCATTAGGTTAAGAAGTAAGGCTTTTTGTGCTAAGCTCAAGGTTTGAGCGGCCTAACCTCACTTTTTAAGAATCTCATTTATTCATCAACTAAAGATTACATTAAATGTACAATAATTATTATTGCTTTTAGAAGCAGTAATAGTTTGACAATACCTAGCTACATGATTTAAGTAGAAATGGATTTTTTCTATTACATTGAATTCAATTAATTGTTTAATAAATAGGTAGGTATCTAATTTCAATTTGTTTGGATTTTTATTTAAAAAATAGGTAGTTTGGAATGTTTAAGCTGTTTCACTGAAAACTTAAAGATAATTTAAATCGTAGAAAAAGAATCGTGCGTTTTCTTGGTTGCCTAACCTCACTTTTTGTTTTATTATTCATATTTAATTTTACAATAATTTAATGAAAAATATTAAACATTAACAGTAAAACAAACAAATTAGTGCTTATTATAAATAAACTAAACCAGTTTAGTACGTTAATTTCTTAGAAAAGGATTAATTTGTCAAAACTAATTACTTGCCTCATAAAATTTTTTTATCAGCCTAGGCCATAACAAGGTATTTCTTTATCGAATGTTGACAACAATAAAGTTTAAATTATAGACCGCGTGGAGATAAAAATTATTTGTTAAAATTTTTAAAAACAAAATATTTTTTGATTATCAATATTAAACTTTTTAAACTATTTTGGTAGAAAATGTTTTATGTGTTTTTATTTTAAATGTTTCTACAGTATTTTTAAATACTCAAAAATTTAACTTTACCAATTTAATCTAAATAAATTATACTTAAGAAATTATTTTTATTTAAAAATGACAGTTAAAAATTTTTGCAAAAATTGATTGGAAATAATAGTGAACTGTTAGTTAAAATTTCAATACATGATGGTTGAAAATATTTCAAATTTATAACGTAAATCATTACTAAAATGTGTATTTATTGTATCCAATGGGTACAATTTATATTTAGAGAGACTGTATGCAGTTTTTTTTTAATTTGGATTTCCACTGTTTATTGGGAAATGGTAAAAACTCAACCCAGGATTTTCAAGGATATTTGACAATTTTGATGCCAAAATTATATACAAACAGTTTGATTTCAAACCCACAGAATATGCAACAAATTATTTTTATTGTCTGGAGAATTAATTTGCAATTTTGATTTTTCTGAAAATATGGATTTAAATGGAAACAATTACTTCTGAGAAATGAACAGAAACCGACCTAAAATGATTTTTAACAAAAAATTTGTCATACTATTTTTAAATTTATCATAAATTGCATAATGTATGAACAAATTCAACTTTTGCGTTTTAAGTTATAGCGGATCCTGGCTTCAGCCAATCAGAGCGCTAGGATCTGCCTCTATCTTTTTCAATAACCAATAATTTTAATTTGTTTTCATTTTATTTTTATTATTTTGCGGATATTTAAAAATTTGTGTCATTTTCAAATATATATTTTTATTTTATTTTATTTATTATTATTGTTTTATTTATTTTTATTTCATTTTACTTTACTTACTTTACTTAATTTTACTTTACTTAATTTTACTTTATTTTTATTTCACTTTATTTTACTTTATTTGATTTTTATTTTTATTTCATTTTAATTTATTTTTTTTTATTTTATTTTAATTTATTTTTTTAACTTTAATTTATGTTTTTTATTTTATTTATTTTCCATTTTGCAGGTATTTAGGTAAAAAGTTTCAACTGTCATTTTCAAAAAAATATTTCAAAAATGCTTGGAGAAATTTTCAAAATTTAAAAATTTCTGATATTTCACAAAAATTATTTTTATTTTATTTATTTTCCATTTTGCGGGTATTTTAAATTATCAACTGTCATTTTCAAAAATTATTTCAAAAGTGCTTGGAGTAATTTTCAAAATTTAAAAATTTCTGATATTTCATAAAAAATATTTTTATTTTATTTATTTTCCATTTTGCGGGTATTTAAAAATTTTCATAAATTATTTCAAAAGTGCTTGGAGTAATTTTCAAAATTTAAAAATTTCTGATATTTCATAAAAAATATTTTTATTTTATTTATTTTCCATTTTGCGGGTATTTAAAAATTTTCAACTGTAATTTTCAAAAAATATTTCAAAAGTGATTGGAGTAATTTTCAAAATTTCTGAATTTCATAAAAATTATTTTTATTTTATTTATTTTCCATTTTGCGGGTATTTTAAATTTTCAACTGTCATTTTCAAAAAATATTTCAAAAATGCTTGGAGTAATTTTCAAAATTTAAAAATTTGTGATATTTCATAAAAATTATTTTTATTTTATTTATTTTCCATTTTGCGGGTATTTAAAAATTTTCAACTGTCACTTTTTGTCGTTTTTTTCGATATTCTGTGATATTTATCAAAAAAAAAATTCCCCATCCCAAAACCTTTAAAAACGAAAATAAACACAATTTTCAGATTCTACTTAAAAAAATATTGATTTGAATACCTATTTCTAAATTTATTTCACCTCAAAATATATTTTTAGTGTCCAAAAACAAAATGAGTTTGTAGGTTAATTAACTTGTGATGTAACATAACCTCAACCTCAAAGAAAAACCGCAATTGTTATTCGATAACAAATGAAAATTCGCAGCGTTCTAGATTCTCATGAAGTAAAAAAAACGTATTATTTACTTACTGGTTTTAACCCCAATTTGGACATAATTTTTCTGGCTTTCTTTTCGCCACGAGATTGCTTAGCCTTCGAGACCATGTCGATGGGCAGACCGGCCGCAGCTGAGCCTGGGAAAGCTGCGTTTCCAGCTGCAGCTGCTGCCCCGGCATCCTCCAATTCTGGTATTTCATCATCAGATTCGGAGTCTGTTGAAGATTCGCTTTCCGGTTTTGCTTCAGGCACTGCTTTTTTGTCCACCTCCGTCATTTCTGGCATTATATATTTCCTGTGCGAAAAATGGGGTTAAAACATTGCTTTACACTATTATAATACCAAGGTTCAACAAAATGTTTTTATCAGTCTGCCAAGAATTTAATCACAGTTTCTTCAGATAATACATGCGAAACCTTGGGTTTAATCATCATTTATGGAATTTTATTGTAAAAATGTATTCCACCCTAAGTATTTGATTCAAATTTATTGTGCATTACCGGCCAAAATCTACAAACACTACTACAATGAACAAAGTCCTTGAAAAATACAAAACGTAAAAAATAAGTTATTTCTACAATTAAATTTATCAATTATTTCAAGTAAACCTCGCTATACTACTTATATTAACACGATCTATTTATAGCAATTTTTTCGGCATTTGTGTCCAACGAACAAACCTCAAATTTCAAAAAAACTAAAAACCTCACCACAAATATATACTATAAATCCAATAAAACGCGACTCGACAAACGCATTAAACTAAAAACATCTCGAAAACAACCACTGATGGCGTAAATATTTCAAAAATTACCTTTTTCAGAAGATCACAACACTGATCCTATCAAAGAACGACAATGAAGGGAAATTGGCAGAACAGAACTCTACCTTACCGATTGCGACGAATTTCGACACTTGAAAGTTTCTCTAAAAGATGGCGCACTTGTATAATGCCTTTAAAAATGTTATTTCCACATAAAAAATTGCAATAATCTAATAAAAAGTGCTGTTATTTTGTTGTATGTTTATTTTTTTATTTGATATTTACTTAAATTGCAGGTTTGGGAATTTTTGTTGTTTTACCAACTGAGCAGACAGAACGTAGGTATGTTCACAATCTGTGCAAAATAGGCGGGAATATTCTTCAAATAATTATTTCCCAGTTTTAAGTAATAACAAATAGTTTAAAATGTCGCAGGAGAATCCGTAAGTGTTTTTTCTTATTATTTTCTATTATCATTGCTTATTAAACACAAGTAATTTTAGTATTTCTTGTAGTATGTAACCATTAAATATAATTAAGGTGCGTTTACACGTTAGGGATGGGCGGTAATTCAAAAATAATTATTTATTGACGTTTAAACCATTGATACCTACTTAAAACCAATAGAAACATTCAATTTCAGTAATGTGTGCAAGTTTTAGCAAATCAAAACCGTATTATTTATCTTTTTTTTTTATCTGGACTCGTGTTTTTTTGTTAGGTTGGTGGCTTATGCCAGTTTGACTTACCTAGTATTTTTAGTATTTAAAAATGGTACTTCTGCTAAAGAATTTAATTAAATACTTTGACACTGTCAAATTGACAATAATATTTATTATTGATAATTTACTTGTCAATTATTATTAAAAAATAATTATGCCAAAAATAATAGCAACTAATTCGAATGTAAAAGCCCTTTTGAGGGAAAAACTTCATTTTGATGAAATTATGCCAAAAGCCACAATGGAAGAAAAAGTACATCGCCTTATGGACATTTTTGGAGTAAAAAAGTAACGAATTTGGTTTTATAAATATTACATCACACATTAATTTCACATTATTCAGCATTGGACAACATTTACGTTCACAAAAAATTTTAATTTCTTTTATATAAATTCTTTTCAAAGCGAAGATATATCCGCTAGGAATACTTTCTCTTCTGGGCCGTAAAGCAACCTATATTTAACTACTTTTTTTTATATGATTTTACTCATCCAAGCACCACCAAAGCCAAATTAATTGCATTTTTAACTACGAATTTCGACAACTCAACTTGACAACTGCACAATGTAACCTACAATAATTTATACATAACCACAATTAGATTTATAACTAGCTTAGTTTGTTTTAATCAATGCGACCAACTTGATAACTATTTACCAACCAAACCCTAAATTTGCAACGTTGCCGCAGTCCAGATAAAAAAAGAATATTTTTTTTATTATTGAGATTGATAAATAACATGTTCTATCATTGCAGTCGGACCTTGGAACAGGTTAATGAGGTTTTAACGTTGGCCAAATTAACTGAAGAGGATATAATGCCGACTTCCCAAGCAATATATTTCACGGACAATATTTACGATAACAACTATAAATTTTTACAATTGGATGCGCATTTGATGAGTGAAATCAAAGAGGGTCAAACGCTTTTCATCAAAGGCGCCGATGACGAAGAAGTAGTCATTTGTTCGGAAACAAAGACTTACAATGTTTTAGAGGCTGAAACTTCGAATAGTTTGCTTTTGGTGGACGGGTTAAAATTCACGGAAGATGTTAAGAATACGGCCGAAAGGGGGATAAATAAGGTGCGCGTCTATGGCATTTTCTTCGATTATTTGGAAGCAGTGGCTGCGAAACCCCACTTAAAAAAATTAAGAAATATGTTGGAAGGGGGTATTTATAAGGGGCCAGAGCATGAGTACAGTGTTAAAAGCGAAAATTTGTTGAGCATAACCGATCTAAACCGAGTTATTCAAGCTTCGAATAAGGAAATAGACGACGCAATAGCTTTAATGGACGTGGTGGAAATAAACAATAAAATAAGATTGTTGGATTTTGAGTATCATTTTCGAGTGCTGTCGTTTATGTTGAAATTAATAGACGAAAACTCGTGGCAATTGGACCACATTGAATACGAGGAAACAGCAAACTCTCTAAGCGATTTAGTCCCAACTGAAATTGTAAATGTCTTATTCGACAAATACACCACGGAAAGTAAAATTATCGACGGAGTCCAGCTTTATAAGTACAAAGAGGATAAAGTGTGCACTTTTTTCGCACAAGTTCTGCTAAAAAGTGCTGGAAAATTCAACTTGAACGAGTTTCTTCAAGCTTGGAAAGACTCCGTTCCCGAAGGTATGGTTCCGCAAGAAGAAATGCTATACGGAATAGCAATCATCGACAGAAAATCTAACCCGAACGTTATAAGGGCTTTCGATGAAGAGAATTTATCAGAGAACATCATGGAAAGGCTGAACGCCTTATTTGAAGTCAAAGAAAAATGGTCGGTACCCGAAATCACACCCTATATAAAGTAAGTAACATTTTTATGTCTATGAGTTTCTACCAAAAATTGTTTTAGACGCCTAGCTACGGAAAAAGTTGACGCTAACGCTTTACTGGCCAAATATGCAAGAGCTTCCAAACAAAATGATGTTAAATACTACTCTGCCAAACATGCAAAGTAGTTTTATTTGTGTATTTAATTTTAATTTATTAATATAGTTGTTTTTATAGTATGTTTTTATATTTTGTCGATTATTGTGGTGTGAACGCAGCTTAACCATTGTTTCGCATTGTGTTCAGTGTTGCCAATATTGTGTGGGAAATTTAATGATTTTGTAAATAAAGTACGACGACATAACTTATATTGCAATACAATTTTGGGGTGGTTAACGACTTTAATAACATAGCCTGCATAATTTATAAAGTTTAAAATAAACCCAGAAACTTCTCACAGTAAATTGTTAAAATCAGTTGGCAATACTGCTTGTATTTGTGATCCTCGAAAAAAACATTACCAAAAATGCCGGACTGCAATAAAAATTTCGAAAGTGAAATTAAAGAGGGCAAAAACCTACGCAACGTTAAATGTAAATACTGCAGCTCCTTAATACTGACACCTTCTACGGGCACTTTTACAAGTTTTGAGGTTAGGTTTTTACCAATAGGGTTATTTGCATTGTTTTTTGACTTTTGTTGTGGGAAAGTTTTTAGGAAAAAGGCAACACAGGATGCATTTGTTTTGGCAGCATAAAAATGTCACTGTTATTTTTAGGTTAATAAATTTTATTGTTATTTTATATTTTTTGTTATATTTGACATTTAAATACAAATAATTATGTGTCAGTTTAACGCTAATTTCATCATTTCAACAGCCAATTGCCTAAAAGCTTTCAACACAAAAACGTCAAAAATATGCACCGAAAAAACTGATTTAATTTATTTTAGTTTAACTTGCCGTTGATGAAACAAAGCAAAGTGAATGACTCCAATCCGGATACAGAGAATGTGTCCTTGTTTTGGGCTGTCAACGAAATGTACACGTTCCAAAACGTTGGTTTTTCAAACACTGTAGGTGACAACAAATATTTGACTTGTGCGGACTGTGAGGCAGGGCCCATTGGATTCCACGACATTCCCAGCAAAAAGAGTTATGTGGCTTTAAGTCGTGTGCAACATGTTTAGCTTTGTATTTTATTGTTGAATGTGTGATGTGATATTGTATTTGGTGGATAAAAACTTTAATAAACCTGTGGATGATGATGTTTAATTTATTAGGTAAATAAATTAGTTTATCTACTCTTACATTGAAGGGCTGTGACTTTATGGTGTTTTAGTCACAGGCTGAAGTTAACAACAGTGGCTTTTGGGCATTTTAGTCACGGGCTGAAGTTAGCGTTATTATAAATTGCAAAAAAGTGAGGTTAAATTTGTCAAATATTTATAAATTAAAATTGGCTTTAAATTCTCATTTCTGTTCGTCGTAGATAAAGTATAGTATGCAACTCGTTTTATAAACACCTCTAGGCACTCGTTTTATTAAACACTCGCTCGTGCCTAATAAAACTCGTGCATAAAATGGTGTTTATAAAACTTGATACGTGGTTTGTTGTATCATGATAATGTACTATTATCTACCCCTATTGCATAATTTTGGTGTTTTTCCGTGAATATTGTAGCATTATAAATTTCCTGCCTAACAACGTAAATAATAAACTCAGTATTCACGTTGTTAGGCATCAGTGATTGGCCGATTTCCGTATTCACTGTGATTTGAACCAATCGAGTTTTAAATTGGAAAAGGCGACTATAATATTTAAAATCGGTAAAAAGTAAGGTTAACCATTTGACAGATGTCAGATTTTATTTATTTAATTTTGAAAATCATTTAATTATCTACTTATTGGAGTAGATATAATATACTATTAATATTTCATTGAAAACAAGTTTGAAAGAACCTGTTTCTCAATGCATAAACTAGATTAGTAAAAAGTAAGGACTTGTTGTGGGATGCAAGCAATATTAAATGTATTGTGTTAAAAAAATCATGAATTTACTAAAAGATCATAAAAGGAGATGTGTAACATTTCCAATTTGAGAAAGTGGAGGTCATATTGAATTTGTGTGGGCTGTTAAACTTATCAAGCATTTCCAAATAAGTATTTTTAAATTCTTATTGTTGCAATATGTAAATTTTTGAATCATAAAATTGAATTTTCTTACCTTTTTAAGAATATGGGTTTGTGTATATTTAAACCATGTTTAATTTTACTTTTAGGTACAAGGTTTAGTTATAATAATTATTTGTTATGTCACTAATTTTATTTATATATAAAAACTATTTCTAACATACACGAAAATAATAGAAGTAAAATAATAAAATAAAATCACATTATCACCACAACCCAGAGGAGTACCCCCCTGGGGGGACCCTTTTGTTTACTGGCTTTGGCTTTTCTTCAATTTGCGTGATTTTTAACTTCTCCTCAACCTTGATTATATCTTCAGATTCTTCAGTCTTTTCCTGTGCTTTTTCATCTTTAATTTCCACATTCTTTTCTTCGCCATTGGTTGTTTCCTGCACGCAGTCGCCGTTTGTTTTGACGTCACCCTGTGAATTTTCCTCGACTTTTTCCTCCTTACCATTTAATTCTTCTTTGCTCACATCTTTCTTCTCTTCCTGTACCTCCGGAATTTTTTCCTTCACGGTAATTTTCTCCCTCGTCCCGAAAATATCCGACGTCTCACCGCCTGGCGGCTTCAAAACTCTGCTGCTGTTTCTAGAGTCGATAAAACCCACATTTACGTTCATGTTCATGTTTGACTGGAAATAAAAATAAAACGATTTAAATCTAAATGTTTATCGCTGTTTTTTACCAAGATAAGGCAATTTTATTCATTAATTATTCAAATAAACTGACGTAATCAGTAATGAGAATTATCAGTGACAATTATTATTGTTAAGATTGTCATGAATCATATACAGGGTAAGTCATTTAACTTGAAACCTCTTAGTATACATTTTACGCAAAAATGTTTTTTCATATTTGTAATTAATTAATTAATTTTAAGGTTTATTGTACTATTTTTAATAAAACACCGCAGTTTACTATAAACGGGAGTGTTTAACCGAAAAAAGAGTTCGTCGAGCAACAGAAAGAAAGAAAAAAATAAAAATAAAACCAAGTATTTTATTCAAAAATTATTGGAGAATCGTATACAGAAGAAAAATCGAACAAAATTGATTTTTATTTTAATCATTTTTTCTTAAAATGTTTCAACATAATTTACAAATTAATATATCACAAGGACTTGTTAATCTATTAAAATAGTTTTATATATTTTTTAACGATTGAAATATTTTTATGTATTTATTTACCCCAATAGGACGAAAATTATTAAAATTGAATAAAAATTAATGTAGTTTGTCAGAAATCAAAAAAACATGACAATTTTATAAATAAAATTCAAATTAAAGTTTGAATACGAAATAATTATTTTTTATTTTACCATTTAATTGTATTTATTTATTTTTATATTTGTACAAAGCGATATCTATTCGAAAATAAAATAAACATTTTTGACGTGATTTTTACCATTAAAATTGCCCGTTTTTAAATAAATTCAACAATTATTGATACTTTAAAATATTAAAATAATTTTAAAATATAACTATATATATTTTTGTAGAAAATTAAACGTTCTACATAAAAGATCTCCTATCATTTTATGACAAATTGACTATTTCAAATGTTATTCAAGGTCAAAGTTGAATATACAAAAATTAAATAAATTTAATATATTTTTTACGTATTTTGCTGTTCATTGAATGCAAAACGAAAGCATTAAGTAAAAAACTATTTTTAAAAGAATTCTTAAGCATTCTTTAGATTGATAGTCAGTGACTGGAGAATTTCCTTGTTTTTTTTTCATTAATCTGGCAGCTACTTTAAGATTAACGCAAAAACCAACTTATAAATAGAAAATACCGTCAAAAGGAATGTTCTGTGTGAAAATATTTGCAGTAATATATATTTTTCTATTTAGAGTCCAAGTATAATTTGACATATTTTGTTATTATTGTCAGGTTTGATAAATTTTTTACGACAATATTTCATTTATATGCATTCAGTTATTAACGGTACAACCTGTGTAGTAAAGGCTGTTAAATTTTAATGTACGTATATGGAGAAGAATAAATTTAAGATTAAACCTCTAAAATTATTGTTAATAAATAAATATATCATAAAATAATCAAAGATAACAAATAATTACAATTATTAACCTGATTATTAAATATATGAATTGTAAAAATGATTCTTGTAGGCACTTACCGGTAAGAATGAAATTCCTGAGATGCCGATGGAATCTATCACTTGTGAGCTGGTTGACTGGTGCTTTGCACTCTATCTACTCCACTGTACAGTGTACACTTGCGTAGTATCTGCGTGGATGTAGTTTGACTTCTAAACGCCTTACTCGAGCCTACACTATTTCTTCTCTTTTCTTTCTTACCTTCTTGCTGCTGATTCTGCTGCTGTGTTGGTTTTTTTTAAATCCGTATATAGATTACCTTCTCCATTCCAGGCGTAATTTTCGGTTTTCCTTCAATTTTGAATTTTTGTTTGACGGAAGCATTTACAAGTTGCCAAGGGTTGCGACAAAATCACATCTCTACGTATTTTGTTAATTAATTAATTCTACAGGGTGTTTTTTCTTTAATATAATAAAAATTACAAATTGAAGTAAAAAATACAACTCAAGAACGCTTTGTGTTTATTATTCTCAACGTGTGGGAAAGCACGTAATGTAATCTTAAATATGAATGAATTACCTACCTAAAACAATGCTGAAATGACTAATAGGCATTTCAGACATAATAGGTGTGGGTTTTAAAGGAATAATAATGCCATTCTCCTTTCGCAAATCAATTTAAGGATTGGATTTTTAATTAAATTTAATGAAATTGTACTTTTTATTTCGTTTTTGTAAATATATTTTTTTCTGGATTCTGAAGGTAACTACTAATTCCTTGGTCTGACTTCTGAAATAGTTTGTTGCAAATATCATTAAGTGTGGTATCTCTAGTTTGTGAAGCATTTATAATGTTTAGGCTGGAACAGGATGATTTATATATATATCCAATATTTTTTCGGGTGGTATGTTAAAAGTATTTTCCGAATTTATTAATTTTGTTCCATTAGTTTTTTATGTTCTCTATCATGCACTGTATTTTGCAAGATGTCCTGTGACGAAGAAATCACTATATTACTTACTCTCTAAAATTGAATTGGTCAAAAATGTCATAAGGAAACAGCAGCCACTAATAATTATCGTCAACAGCAATTTGTATCCAGGACATTTAGCAGTCAATTCCTATCTCAAAAACTGCTTAACTTGTATAGTTTTTGACGGTCTTTTCGGATTCAGGGGACAATTTTACATAAGAATTGGCTGGTAATGTCCGGGATACAAATAGAGTATGATATTGGACGTATGTCCTATAATAGAAATTTACATTTTTTACCAACCAGTAATTGGACACTGGCCATTGTACTGTTTGTTTTCAGAATTAAAATTAAAACGCATTAAAGTGACAATGTTTAAACCATGAGGAACACAATTATACCACACACTGATATGTATACTTTTTAGAAATATTTTTTATTGTAATTTAAACACAGCCCTGCTCTTAACAAAAAAACAAAGTAACGTCCTATATTGTATCCAAAATAAAGTAGTTCTATATTATTATCGACTGAGATAGTTATAATTGTATACAGCGCCATCTAATGATTTGACTTTAAGGTAACTATTTATAGAACTCTTGTTTTTACAGTATTAATGTTAATTGTATTACATTTTTAAATAAATAATTCAAGACAGTAAAATCAATTAAACAAGCGTATAATTAAGTCTGCGAATGCGTGTAAAAACTCGATTCTTTTTGAATTAAATTATACATTTTCTCTATTTGAAAAAAACTAACATAAACAACAAGCCTACATTTACAATGAACTATGTAGATATCTCAACTACTAGACCATATGGAATATACTTAATATTATATTAAGTTATAAAATTTTTAAAACAATTTTTTCTTTTTAAAACTTCAAATTTTGACCAGATAACTTTTATCTCCACGCGGTCTATAATTTAAACTTTATTGTTGTCAACATTCGATAAAGAAAAACCTTGTTATGGCCTAGTTCGATAAAAAATTTTATGAGGCAAGTAATTAGTTCGATTTTTTCTCGCTAGGGGTATTGTTTTGACAAATTAATCATTTTCTAAGAAATTAACGTACTAAACTGGTTTAATTTATTTATAATAAGCATTAATTTGTTTGTTTTACTGTTAATGTTTAATATTTTTCATTAAATTATTCTAAAATTAAATATGAATAATGAGGTTAGGCAACCAAGAAAACGCACGATTGTTTTTCTACGATTTAAATTATCTCTAAGTTTTAATTTGCTTTAAGTTTTCAGTGAAATTAAATGTTAAACACAGCTTAAACATTCCAAACTGCCTATTTTTTAAATAAAAAACCAAACAAATTGAAATTAGATACCTACCTATTTATTATACAATTAGGTAATTGAATTCAATGTAATAGCAAAAATCCAATTCTACTTAAATCGTGTTGCTAGGTATTGTCAAACTATTACTGCTTCTAAAAGCAATAATAATTAATTTACATTTAATGTAATCTTTAGCTAATAAATAAATGAGATTCTAAAAAAGTGAGGTTAGGCCGCTTTGATGTTGAATTAAATTGACCTATATAAAGTGCCTTTTTGTGCTTCGCTCAATTGTAGGCCTCCGCTAGAAGAAAACTATTTTTACTAAGTATAATTTTTATTATGGAAAATTTTGTATTGAAGCTCCCCCGTCAACAGGTAAAGATACCCCGGTGATGTAAGAAGCATGGCCGCTAGCCAAAAAAGCGATAGCTTTGGCAACATCTCCAGGATTTCCCAGCTTGCCCATTGGATGGGCCAACAGGCTGTGCTTCTTGTAACTTTCAAATTGTTCTCTGCTCATTCCGGCGTTTCGATACAAACCCGTAGATTCCAAGGTACCAGGATTAACGCAGTTGGCTCTGACTTTGCATGAAGCCAGGTCCAAAGCTAAACATTTCGTGAATTGGTCTATGCTCGACATTGCTATCGAGTAGGCCATCATATCTTTGGCCGGGCGCAGACCGAATCTACCAGAAACATTTACAATGTTGCCTTAAAAAATGTTTAAAAAAATTGAGTTGAAATATAATCAAGTAGGTATAGGGTAAACCACTTAGTTATTGGACACTTAAGGAATATTGTTTATTTTAAAATTATGGGTAATTTTCAAGAAACACCCGGTTTCAGGAAAATAAAGATCAAATTTTTTATTTTATTTTTTATTAAAAATTGTATGCTTTTTTTAAATATGTATGTTTTAAAAGAAACCAATCCGGTTCTTTGTTAAAAAAACAATACCATTAATATTTTCTTTTAGTCACTGTATTAGTGAGTTAAACTCTAATTTATAAACACGTATTACCAAGTGATAGTGTATAAAAATCATTTTAAGTATTTTTTCTAACAAAAACTAAAAAAAGTAACGAAATAAACATTGGTATCACAACGGACAGGGGTACACAAAGGACTTAATCAGATAACGTAAAAGAGAAACTACGATTTTAGAGTAATGCATAAACAAAATCCCTTGTAGTGGTGCTCACTTGCAGAATAACAACTTAGATTTCTAAATTGTAGACACCCTTTTTCTTTGACTATAAGCTGGTGAAGGTCCCTTTTAGTACTTTTATATTGCGTGGAATTTTTCCTTGGATGTAATCTATATCATGAGTTGTAATTACAAATAATTTTAAATTGGTTAATCATAAACTACTTTTAATAAAAGCGACGGTAAATATCCACTTTGTTGTCGAAAAATTCTATTGCGTTACCCTAAATTCCATTGTGTTACCATAAGCTAACATAGTGGACTCGGTAACGCAGTGGACAAAGTTTTGTGAAACCATATTTAAAAAATAATAATAACACATTACAGTCATTAATTACTCTCAATGAGCTTTGGTCACAGAATAAAGAATGTGCTTTGGTGCCCTAAAATAAACATAAACATGAAAAATAGTATTTTTCCTTACCTTATTTTTATTATTTTTTTGAGTAACTTAGCGGACAAACAATTATTACATTCGCGTTACCCGCACCTGTTTCAACCGATATCTTCTTCCTGATTGAATAAATAAATTCAGCTGGGTAATGTGTACGTCCGAACATCATTTGTTGATCACGTGAGTACCAAAAAAGTTGCCATATGTTTTTTTTTAATATTCTATCGGTAACGCGACGGACGTAACGCAACGGAAAAAATGTCTGGGACATGAGTCAAATTTAAAAAAAGTAGATTAAAATTAATTATTTTATATATAAATTGTTTACTGTATTAACTAAGGAAGTTATGGATTGCTATAAAGCAACACAAAGTTCTGGTTATTCAATATTTAAAAAAAAAACATGCATATAAGTTTTATAAAACGCCAATGGGACATGCGAAAATGTGTGTTTCACAAGTTTCAAAATTAAAAAAAAATATTCTGAAATAACTGAAAAAGTCTGAAAGAGTTTACTAAGGGCTTGTTAGGCTTTCACTTGGTTTTTAAATCAATAATATCCGATAATTTTGTCCAATAACTATAACTGTCTACTTTACCCTACTTCAAATATATTTGTTACCTTGTGATGGCATAAGATGAGGTAAAGCCCATTTGGTAATACAATGTAAAGCTTTTAAGGTGGTAGACAGTAACGCATCTATTTGCTCTCTGGTACTATCGAATATACCCCCAAATCTAATAATGCCAGCCGCATTTATTAAAACATCTAAACAATTATCTTTTTTAAGTGCACAAGATAATGCTTTAAGTGTTTCGTCTTCGCATCTTAGATCGGCTTTTACTATTTGGACGTTATCTAAATTTGTTGCCCATGATTTTAAAAAATCCACGTCTTTGTCTATCAAAATTAATCTGGCCCCCAATTGATTAAACAAGTTTGCAGTCGCAAATCCAATTCCTGAGTTTGAACCAGTGATTATGCATAACTTGTCTGTGAACGAAATATTAAGTGAGTTATTTGCTTCTACATCTTCCGGTCTTAAAATGCAATGAATAAGCAATGTTTTTATAATTTTTGTATAACATTATTACCTGGTATTTTGTTTGAGAGAAATGTATCTTTTATGAACTGATAATTTACATAGTCTTTGAATAATCATTGGAGAAATCCAAGCATTCTTTTATAATCTGTTAATTTAAGGAAAAAATGATTTGTTTTCATTTTTACTGTCAAATTTGTCAACAGTTCTATAAATAGTTACCTTAAAGTCAAATCAAATCAAATCATTAGAATTATAAATATCTCAGTCGGTGATAATTTAGAACTACTTTATTTTGGGTCCAATATAGGACAAAAAAGATTTTGATTTTTTGTTAAGAGCAGAGCTGTGTTTAAATTACAATAAAAAATATTCCTAAAAATTGTACAGATCAGTGTGTAGTATAAACGTGTTCCTCATGGTTTAAAGATTGTCACTTTAATGCGTTTTAATTTTAATTCTGAAAACAAACAGTAGAATGGCCAGTGTCCAATTACTGGTTGGTAAAAAATGTAAATTTCTATTATTGGACATATGTCCAATATCATACTCTATTTGTATTTACCAGCCAATTCTTATGTAAAATTGTCCCCTGAATCCGAAAAGACCGTCAAAAACTATAAAAGTTAAGCAGTTTTTGAGATACAGGGTGTCCTGGAAAAGGAGGTCAATCCGTTAACCATATATTCTTTGAGTTAAAACAATAAGAGTTTCATAATACCATTTTTCAATTTAAAGCTTCATGTTCGATATACAGGGCGACAAAGTTTAAAATTTAAAACTGATTTTTTTTAATAATTCAAGTAATTGATAAGATATTAAGTTCAAATTCGGTACACTACTTCAACATAAATAGTTACATTTTTTGAGACCAACAAAGCAAAAAATAATTGTCAAATATTCAAAATAGGGGGGTCCAGCACTCACTGACTCCCCCTATTTTCTAGTACGTGCGCCAATGACTTCCAAACGGTATTTTTTCAGGTAATCATTTATTGTTGAAAATTATTTGTCTCTTATAAAATTTTGATAAAATGATTTGTTTTAGAGATAATTTGTAAAGTATGGGTCAATCCATATCAAATTTTTGAAATTTAATTTTTTTTTGAAAAAATTTAGGTCATGTGATGTATCATAAAAAAGGTCTCTAATAGGCCTTTAAAATAAGCCATCACTCACCTTTCTACTTTTAATAGTTTACGAGATATCGCTATTTTTGCAAAACCCAAATTTATCGGAATTTTTTAATTTTCAAATATCAATAAAACAAAAACCACCCATCGAAAAAAATTCATATATGGGATTTTTGAGTTTTTTAGTGAGGTAAACAAATTTACCAAAAATTATCAAAATCGGAGATGGTTGGGGGAAGAACCTTTGGTTGATTTGATATGGACTGACCCATACTTTACAAATTATCTCTAAAACAAATCATTTTATCAAAATTTTATAAGAGACAAATTTTTTTTAACAATAAATGATTACCTGAAAAAATACCGTTTGGAAGTCATTGGCGCACGTACTAAAAATAGGGGAAGTCAGTGAGTACTGGACCCCCCCTATTTTGATTATTTGACAATTGTTTTTTGCTTTGTTGGTCTCAAAAAATGTAACTATTTATGTTGAAGTAGTGTACCGAATTTGAACCTAATATCTTATCAATTACTCGAATTATTAAAAAAAATCAGTTTTAATTTTCAAACTTTGTCGCCCTGTATATCGAACATGAAGCTCTAAATTGAAAAATGGTATTATGAAAGTCTTATTGCTTTAACTCAAAGAATATATGGTTAACGGATTGACTACCTTTTCCCGGACACCCTGTATAGTCAATTCCATATTATATGTAAAATTGATTATATTTCAAAAACTGTTCTACTTTTATAACTTTTGACGAAATTTTCGGGTTCAGCGAATAATATTTCATAGGAATTGACTGCTAAATGTCCTGGATACAAATTGCTGTTGGCGAGAATTATTAGTGGCTGCTTTTTCGCCATGACATTTCTTTTAAACATTTCTTTGTTGTTAAATCCAGAGTTAAAAAAAATACAATTTTTTTGAAAAATAAAAAAAATCGCATTTTATTAAAATTTTGGATACAGAAATTTAAAAAAAAAGTAAAAAAATTGATCTTATGTTTTATTTTGTGTTCAAATAAATTTTAAGTTTTTTTTTACCTTTTCCAGTTAGTTCCATTTACATACTTTTATATAAAACATTCTTTTTAATTAAATTTTTTTAAGTAAAATTTGAAGAATATTTATAAAAAATTGTAACTCTTTAAAAAATAATTATTGTCAAAGGAGTATGACATAATTTTGTAGGAAATTAAACGCTCTACAAAAAAGGTCTGATGTGTTTAATTGATTACTATAACCGTTGAGAAGATATTCGTATCAGTACGCATTGATATTCGGATACGAATATCTTCTCAACGGTTAGAGTAATCAATTCAACACATTTGACCTTTTTTGTAGAGCGTTAAATTTCCTACAAAAATTTGTCATCCTCATTTGACAATAATTATTTTTCAAAGAGTTACAAAATTATTAAAAAAATTTTTTTTTTTATAAATTCTTCAAACTTTGATGTTGAATATCTTTTAAATGGTTGGAGTAATCGCTTAAACACATCAGTACTTTTTTGTAGAGCATTCATTTTCCTACAAAAATATATATAAATGTTTGATTAAACGATTGATTAATAATGAGATATGGTCTTTTTTATAAGGGAGTGAAGAAAAAATGATTAACCATTTAATCCTGCTTATCCTCGGTTAACCTGCAGTGGTCACGTGACCAGTCCTGCAACAAGGTCCTGCTGCTTGGCTCACATGTTGTGATGACTTTTATTGGCATGCAAGACACCAAATCCTTCTGTAATATGATTTGATGTATGGAAATGTGTTCTACTTGGAAAAAAATTCCGTATTATTTTGACGGCTGAATTTTCTTTACTGCCCTCTAAAAAATCGATATTTGCCTTTGAAGCGCCAGTTTCAAGGCGCGTGTCGACGGATTCGCACGTTTATCGCTACACACCACCAACTATAACCTAAAAAATTACGCGATAAAATAATAACCCTTTGTAACGTATTAATCCCCGAATTCTTAACACAAGAGTGTTAGATGTCATGTGTGGGTGCAACAGTGTGGTTGTATTTTTCAACGGCGGATAATTCAGAAAAAATTGCACCTTGGAGAACTTAAACTCTCCAGTTTGCTCCACAAATATGATTCCGTCTAAAAACTGTGATTCACCTAGCAGTAAGCATTACCTTCATTTTAGATATCATCCCAATCTCACCTATTTTCCTGAGCAATATATATAAAAAAATCTACTTACTGAGATATTTCACTTCACGGTGGATAGGTTTTTAACTAGCCTTCAGGAATCACATGCATCTATAATGTCGTAAACAGAGGTTTTTGCTTATTTAAAATGATTAAAGCGCCATCCGTTGCATAAAACTTAAAGCAAAAACAGATTCACGGAGGATATAATCAATTTTTGTAACACCTACATAAATTGTTATAAAAATTATCTCTTTTAATTTTTAATAATATTTTATATTTGATTCGATCGCTTTGGATGTGTTTAATTTACTTAGTGAACTGATATTTTTAGTATGCTTTTACTACCTCAGATATTTGAAAACTTATAGGTTAACCTAGAAAGAGTAACAGTCACGGAGGATAGGTTTTAGACTTTTAAAACATTGTAAAAAATAATTAATTGCGGTTTATTACTTACTTTTAAAATACAAACAAAGATAAGGTTATTGTTTATGTTTACCTATTCAAAAGTTATGTGTTAAAAATTAGAGGTTATTTATCATTGTTTGTACATTCTGTACATTAGACTTTTGGGGCACTCTGTATAAAACACTGACTGCAGTTGTAGAAATATTTATAACATGTTAAATGATGTGTCAATATTTATAAAGTTATACCTCCATGCAATATACCAATTAAAGTTGTAATGATAACTTAATATCATACACAATATTCGATATTTATTATTATTGAAGATAATTACCTACACTAGACTACAAAAAAACAAGCTAATGTTGATAAAAATACATGTAAAAATGGCGAAGTTATGAAACTTTTAGTGGAAGACCAAAATTCAGCTTTTTGACGATTTTTCTTTTATTTTGTAATATAATTCTTTAATAAAAACCTAAATAAAGTGCATGATTGGAATTTTTTGTGTTTTTTACGTACTTTTTTCACCGAAAACATTATTCAAAATTTAAATTTGACATGACTCCGCAAACGTGAATTCTTTTTTTTCTCGTGTTGGCATAGTGACATTTGACTGATATTTTTTGATATTTCAACAAGGTATTTTTATCATGGTTTTATTTAGTTAATAAAAAGTGTAACATGAGTAAACGAAGTAGAGATTTCGAGTGCGTAAATAACCCGCACAATCTGGGCGACGTAAGTGATGAGCACGGAGAACGTTTTCACCAGCAAATGAAGGCTATGGAGCGGCGGTATCACGGCTTCTGGGATGCACCAATGATGGGTGATTACATTTGGTCCCTCATACGAGAAACGGAATACGAAAGCAACAAAAAACAAAGAAGGAGCCAGAATTTTTTTTTTAATATTTTACATTTATTGTTTAATGTTCATTATATAATTTAATTTCAATATTTAATGTTTAAAATAAAAATCAATGTTCAATATTAAATTTTATATAATTCAATAAAATGAAGAAAAAACGTAAAAATTCTCGAAAAACTGGTCTTCCACTGAAAAATTCATAACTTCGCCATTTATCCATGGATTTTTATAAACAGCAGCTTAATTTTTTCATTTAAGCATTATCTATACGTAAAATAAATCAAACTGGACTTATCTTTTCGATTTCTATCTTTCCCAGAAAGATATGTAAATTTACGACCTCGATTTTTGTAAAAAAAAAGGACTTTTTCAACTTCATAAAATCGCTAGTACTAGTACTAGTACTTATACAACTACTGAGCCGATACCAAAACTATAAAAGAAAAGTTAGTGTTATCTACCCTATTAAAAAACTATAAAACATTATTAAAAACTATAAATTTTCCACTTTTAATAATTAACATAGCCTACAATAGGTACCTT